AGACACAGAGAGACAGAGACACACACACAGAGAGAGAGACAGACACAGAGAGAGACACAGAGGGAGACAGACACAGATAGACAGAGTCAGACACAGACACAGAAAGAGAGACAGACAGAGACACAGACAGAGAGACACAGACACAGACAGAGAGAGTTCGTGTCGTGTCCGCTGCTCCTCCTCCTGTTGGAGCAGCGCAGACCGCAGCGGGTTCACTGAGAGGTCCGTGGCCTGGTGGCCACGCTCACCACACTGCTGCTGCTGCGGCTTGTGTCTCTAACGTATCTCTGTGGATCTCCGTGGGTCTGTGAGCCTCCATGAGTCTCTGTGTATCCATTGGTGTATCTATGGGTCTATATGTACATATTGGTGTCTCAATGGGTCTCTACTACTCTCTATGGTGCTTTTAGCGCCACAGCGCGTCGATTTGTAGCGTTCATTTTCATTTGTGTTGCTGGTGACCTTGTGTATTTCATATTGAAATCACTTCCAGTGCAATTGCTGTTGGCGGCAATAAAAGTTATTTAAAAGTCAAAAAAGTCTATGCATCTCCATGTGTCTCTGTGCATTCATTGGTGTATCTATGGGTCTCTGTGGACATATTGGTGTCTCAATGGGTCTCTACGACTCTATGCATCTCCATGTGTCTCTGTGCATCCATTGGTGTATCTATGGGTCTCTATGGACATATTGGTGTCTCAATGGGTCTCTACGACTCAATGCATCTCCATGTGTCTCTGTGCATCCATTGGTGTATCTATGGGTCTCTATGGACATATTGGTGTCTCAATGGGTCTCTACGACTCTATGCATCTCCATGTGTCTCTGTGCATCCATTGGTGTATCTATGGGTCTCTATGGACATATTGGTGTCTCAATGGGTCTCTACGACTCTATGCATCTCCATGTGTCTCTGTGCATCCATTGGTGTATCTATGGGTCTCTATGGACATATTGGTGTCTCAATGGGTCTCTACGACTCAATGCATCTCCATGTGTCTCTGTGCATCCATTGGTGTATCTATGGGTCTCTATGGACATGTTGGTGTCTCAATGGGTCTCTACGACTCTATGCATCTCCATGTGTCTCTGTGCATTCATTGGTGTATCTATGGGTCTCTATGGACATATTGGTGTCTCAATGGGTCTCTACGACTCTATGCATCTCCATGTGTCTCTGTGCATTCATTGGTGTATCTATGGGTCTCTATGGACATGTTGGTGTCTCAATGGGTCTCTACGACTCTATGCATCTCCATGTGTCTCTGTGCATTCATTGGTGTATCTATGGGTCTCTATGGACATATTGGTGTCTCAATGGGTCTCTACGACTCTATGCATCTCCATGTGTCTCTGTGCATCCGCTACAGGTCTCTATGGGCTTACCACGTGCTCTATCGCCCCTGTGTGCGCAGTCCACGCCTCGCTCGCTGCACGAGGGGGCGGCGGCTTCCTGCCGACCTCGCCGGGACTTTCCGAGCTGTGGGCACGAGCCGCGTGGCGAGCGAGTCTGTAGGAGGAGCGGTGGGCGCAGTGGTTAGCGCGCTGCGCTGTGCCACCTGAGTTCGATTTCCGCTCACGGTTCAACACCGGCGACGATTGTCTTAACCAGTTCCTAGGCCCCCCCCCCCCTAGGTCGACTCGGCCTCAAGTGAGAACCTGGTGCGGTGTTAAACATCGCCACTGGGGAGACAAAGACGGTCGGGCGTGGTGCTGGCCACCCACCCCCTCGTGTGCTGTGCCGGCCTTCATAGGTGCTCGCTAACAGCACTTGCCCCTACAGTCTGTTGAGGCTACACGGGGGATCTTTGTTGTCTTTTGGTGTCGCAGTGGTGAACGCGCTGCGCTACGAACTCCACCCATTGCGCGCTGTGTGTGTGTTGACCTTAATAGGTGCTCGCTAACACCGCTCAGCCCCAACAGTCCGTGTAGGATACACGGGGTCAGAGCAGGACACCTCAACACGCCACCCACTCTGATTGGGCGGCGTCTCGGGGGAAATTCCACATTCCGATGACGGGGGCCTCATGCCAATGATGTAGACAACATTCCTATGTTGGTGATTCTAGTGATGATCGTGTTGATGATGATGATCGTGATGGTGATCTTGATGGTGATCGTGATGATGATGATGATCGTGATGATGATTGTGATGATGATGATCGTGATGATGATTGTGATGATGATTGTGATGATGATCGTGATGATGATTGTGATGATGATCGTGATGATGATCGTGATGATGATTGTGATGATGATGATGATGATGATCGTGATGATGATTGTGATGATGATGATCGTGATGATGATTGTGATGATGATTGTGATGATGATCGTGATGATGATTGTGATGATGATGATGATGATCGTGATGATGATTGTGATGATGATGATCGTGATGATGATTGTGATGATGATTGTGATGATGATCGTGATGATGATTGTGATGATGATTGTGATGATGATGATCGTGATGATGATCGTGATGATGATTGTGATGATGATCGTGATGATGATCGTGATGATGATGATCGTGATGATGATCGTGATGATGATTGTGATGATGATGATGATCGTGATGATGATCGTGATGATGATGATGATGATCGTGATGGTGATTATACGTCACTATGCAGTATTCGGGAGAAGAGCAAGTTTCGCTGGCTGCCCAGCGCGCGTTTTGATTGGATGGAGGCCAATGCCCCGGTAGGGGGGAGGGGCTTGTGGGGAGCGGGGGGCGGCCTGGGCATTGTGACGTAAGAGAGGGGGCGGAGCGGGGGGGTTCATGGTACAGGGCAGGAGAATAATACAAGTTTGACAGGCTGCCTGCCTGGCTGGCTGCCTGGCTGGCTGCCTGGCTGGCTGCCTGGCTGGCTGGCTGGACGGAGGGAGGGAGGAACGGACGGTCACGTGACAACAAAAAGTCGTGCGCGGGGAGGCTGCTTGCTCGTGATGACAACAACAACAACGACAACAACAACAACGACTGCTGAAGAAGATGGCGCGCTTGTAATGAAAGTGTGAGAGACGATGGAGAGGTGGGGGAGGAGCACGCGGCTGAGACGACTCGTGGCTGAGACGACTCGTGGCTGAGACGACTCGTGGCTGAGACGACTCGCGTCTGAGACGACTCGCGGCTGAGACGACTCGTGGCTGAGACGACTCGTGGCTGAGACGACTCGTGGCTGAGACGACTCGTGGCTGAGACGACTCGTGGCTGAGACGTGAGACGACTCGTGGCTGAGACGACTCGTGGCTGAGACGACTCGCGGCTGAGACGACTCGTGGCTGAGACGACTCGCGGCTGAGACGACTCGTGGCTGAGACGACTCGTGGCTGAGACGACTCGTGGCTGAGACGACTCGTGGCTGAGACGACACGCGGCTGAGACGACTCGTGGCTGAGACGACACGCGGCTGAGACGACTCGTGGCTGAGACGACTCGCGGCTGAGACGACTCGTGGCTGAGACGACTCGTGGCTGAGACGACTCGTGGCTGAGACGACTCGTGGCTGAGACGACTCGTGGCTGAGACGACACGCGGCTGAGACGACTCGCGGCTGAGACGACTCGTGGCTGAGACGACTCGCGGCTGAGACGACTCGTGGCTGAGACGACTCGCGGCTGAGACGACTCGTGGCTGAGACGACTCGTGGCTGAGACGACACGCGGCTGAGACGACTCGTGGCTGAGACGACTCGTGGCTGAGACGACTCGTTGGTGGCATCGTCCAAAGTGCTCAGACGACTGAAGTGAGCTCGTGAATGGCGGACACGCCGATGGCTTGAAGGGGCGGCTTGGAGTGGCTTTCATGGAGCAGTGGAGAGACCATGGCTGATGACGCGTTCATTCCTTCATGGAGCAGTGGAGAGACCCTGGCTGATGACGCGTTCATTCGTTCATGGAGCAATAGAGAGACCCTGTCTGATGACGCGTTCATTCGTTCATGGAGCAGTGTAGAGACCATGGCTGATGACGCGTTCATTCCTTCATGGAGCAGTGTAGAGACCATGGCTGATGACGCGTTCATTCCTTCATGGAGCAGTGTAGAGACCATGGCTGATGACGCGTTCATTCCTTCATGGAGCAGTGGAGAGACCCTGGCTGATGACGCGTTCATTTCTTCATGGAGCAGTGGAGAGACCATGGCTGATGACGCGTTCATTCCTTCATGGAGCAGTGGAGAGACCCTGGCTGATGACGCGTTCATTCGTTCATGGAGCAATAGAGAGACCCTGTCTGATGACGCGTTCATTCGTTCATGGAGCAATAGAGAGACCCTGTCTGATGACGCGTTCATTCGTTCATGGAGCAGTGGAGAGACCATGGCTGATGACGCGTTCATTCGTTCATGGAGCAGTGGAGAGACCCTGGCTGATGACGCGTTCATTCCTTCATGGAGCAGTGGAGAGACCCTGGCTGATGACGCGTTCATTTCTTCATGGAGCAGTGGAGAGACCATGGCTGATGACGCGTTCATTCGTTCATGGAGCAGTGGAGAGACCATGGCTGATGACGCGTTCATTCCTTCATGGAGCAGTGGAGAGACCCTGGCTGATGACGCGTTCATTCCTTCATGGAGCAGTGGAGAGACCCTGGCTGATGACGCGTTCATTCGTTCATGGAGCAGTGGAGAGACCCTGGCTGATGACGCGTTCATTTCTTCATGAAGCAGTGGAGAGACCATGGCTGATGACGCGTTCATTCCTTCATGGAGCAGTGGAGAGACCCTGGCTGATGACGCGTTCATTCCTTCATGGAGCAGTGGAGAGACCCTGGCTGATGACGCGTTCATTCGTTCATGGAGCAGTGGAGAGACCCTGGCTGATGACGCGTTCATTTCTTCATGGAGCAGTGGAGAGACCCTGGCTGATGACGCGTTCATTTCTTCATGGAGCAGTGGAGAGACCATGGCTGATGCTTGGGCGCGGTCTGATCTGAGACTCCCCCCCCCCACTTCCTCCTAGCCCCGCCCCCCACTCCACGCCTGTCTATAAACTCCGAGTGGAGAGACGTTGGAGAGTGACAGAGGCGGAGGAGGTCGAGAAATAGTGAGTCCCCGTGTCTCTGTCTGCGTGTCTGTCTCAGTCTCCATGTCTCTGTCTGCGTGTCTCTCTCTGTCTCCCTGTGTCTCTCTCTGTCTCCCTGTGTCTCTCTCTGTCTCTCCCCCGTGTCTCTCTCCCCGTGTCTCACTGTCCCCGTGTCTCTGTCTGCGTGTCTCTCTCTGTCTCCCTGTGTCTCTCTGTCTCCCCGTGTCTCTCTCTGTCTCTCCCCCGTGTCTCTCTCTCCGTGTCTCTCTGTCCCCGTGTCTCTGTCTCCCCGTGTCTCTCTTGTCTCCCCGTGTCTCTCTCTGTCTCTCCCCGGTGTCTCCCTGTGTCTCCGTGTCTCTCTCTCTGTCTCCCTGTGTCTCCATGTCTCTCTCTGTCTCCGTGTTTCCCCGTGTCTTTCTCTCCCCGTGTCTCTCTGTATCTCACTTCCCGTGTCTCTCTCCCCCGTGTTTCTCTCCCCGTGTCTCTCTCCCCGTGTCTCTCCCCGTGTCTCTCTCTGTCTCTTCCCCGTGTCTCCGTGTCTCTCTCTGTCTCCGTGTCTCCCCCGTGTCTCTCCCCGTGTCTCTGTCTCCCCGTGTATCTGTCTCCCCATGTCTCTCTCTCCCCGTGTCTCTCCCCGTGTCTCTCTCCCCGTGTCTCTCTCTCTCCGTGTCTCTCTCCCCGCGTCTCTCACTCCCCATATCTCTCTCCCCGTGTCTCCCCGTGTCTTTCTCCCCGTGCCTCTTTCCCCGTGTCTCTCTCCCCGTGTCTCTCTCGCCGTGGTCGCGTGGATTTTTCTCCGGGTCCTCCGGGAATTCCCCTCCGCATTGTTGAATCGACGTCGCCGCGCCTTGAGAGTTGTTTGGCTGCTGTCAATTCACGCATCACGATGACCACTTTGTGCGGCAGCCGTCATTCGTGGTGGCCGGGTCACTTCTGGACGACAAAACGAGTTACACGGCAGCTCGGTGGCCCTTACCTGGCAAAGTAAAATACTAATACGAGTTTGGTTTTAAAGGAAACGAAGCTAGAGGCGCAGCTCCGCAATTGCGCGTTTTCGCCCCTGCTGCCGAAGAGAGACTCACCATCACCACCACGCCGTGCCACTCACCCTCACCACCACGCCGTGCTACTCACCCTCACCACCACGCCGTGCCACTCACCCTCACCACCACACCGTGCCACTCACCATCACCACCACACCGTGCCACTCACCATCACCACCACGCCACTCACCATCACCACCACGCCGTGCTACTCACCCTCACCACCACGCCACTCACCATCACCATCACGCCGTGCCACTCACCATCACCACCACGCCACTCACCATCACCACCACGCCACTCACCATCACCACCACACCGTGCTACTCACCATCACCACCACGCCGTGCCACTCACCCTCACCACCACGCCGTGCCACTCACCCTCACCACCACGCCACTCACCATCACCACCACGCCACTCACCATCACCACCACGCCACTCACCATCACCACCACGCCACTCACCATCACCACCACACCCTGCCACTCACCATCACCACCACGCCACTCACCCTCACCACCACGCCACTCACCATCACCACCACACCGTGCTACTCACCCTCACCACCACGCCACTCACCATCACCACCACGCCACTCACCATCACCACCACGCCACTCACCATCACCACCACGCCACTCACCATCACCACCACGCCACTCACCATCACCACCACGCCACTCACCATCACCACCACACCACTCACCATCACCACCACGCCACTCACCATCACCACCACACCGTGCTACTCACCCTCACCACCACGCCACTCACCATCACCACCACGCCCCTCACCATCACCACCACGCCACTCACCATCACCACCACGCCACTCACCATCACCACCACGCCACTCACCATCACCACCACACCGTGCTACTCACCCTCACCACCACGCCACTCACCATCACCACCACGCCACTCACCATCACCACCACGCCACTCACCATCACCACCACGCCACTCACCATCACCACCACGCCACTCACCATCACCACCACACCCTGCCACTCACCATCACCACCACGCCACTCACCCCTCACCACCACGCCACTCACCATCACCACCACACCGTGCTACTCACCCTCACCACCACGCCACTCACCATCACCACCACGCCACTCACCATCACCACCACGCCACTCACCATCACCACCACGCCACTCACCATCACCACCACGCCACTCACCATCACCACCACACCGTGCTACTCACCCTCACCACCACGCCACTCACCATCACCACCACGCCACTCACCATCACCACCACGCCACTCACCATCACCACCACGCCACTCACCATCACCACCACGCCACTCACCATCACCACCACGCCACTCACCATCACCACCACGCCACTCACCATCACCACCACGCCACTCACCATCACCACCACGCCACTCACCATCACCACCACGCCACTCACCATCACCACCACGCCACTCACCATCACCACCACGCCACTCACCATCACCACCACGCCACTCACCATCACCACCACGCCACTCACCATCACCACCACGCCACTCACCATCACCACCACGCCGTGCTACTCACCCTCACCACGGCTTAGACATCACACAACGACGGTCGTCACATCGCGCGGCGATTTCAGATGCTGTATAGTCAACGCTACACTATACTACTATACACTACACTATACACTACACACTACACACTGCACTATACACTATACTATACACTACACTATACACTACAGACTACACTATACACCATACTATACACTACACACTACACTACACACTAGACTACACACTACACTATACACTACACTATACACTACACTTTAGGCTGAGCAGACAGCCGCTGCTTCTGCGGCCGTCTGGAACGCTCTTCCCTTCAGACATTAGGAAGCCACTGAGATCTACGCATTTTTAAATCACCATCATCATCTACGTTGCCAAACTCACTTCTTTACAAACCGCGTTCCGTGTTTAGTTTGGGGCCCCTCCCCCGCACCTCCGATGAGTGCGCTTGGCGAGGTACGGTGCGAAAGAAGTTAGACGGAAGCAGCTGCAACCGCTGGTAGGTGAAGGCGCAGAGGCTGGTGGGACGGGTTCCAATCTGGCAGCACGTGGAGTCGAACCGGCCCCGTCAGGATTCGCGTGCGGATCACTCCAGCAGCAGCAGGAGCTGCAGCTGCAGCAGTAGCAGCAGCAGCAGGAGCTGCAGGAAGAGCAGTAGTAGCAGCTGCAGCTGCAGTAGCAGCAGGAGTAGCAGCAGCAGCAGGAGCTGCAGTAGCAGCAGCAGGAGTAGCAGCAAGAGCAGTAGTAGCAGCTGCAGCAGCAGTAGCAGCAGCAGTAGCAGCAGCAGTAGTAGCAGGAGTGTGCCAGTCAGATCCGACACTCTGTGTGTGTGTGTGTTGTATACTGTGTGTGTTTGTGTTGTGTGCTGTGTGTGTGTTGTATGCTGTGTGTGTCTTGTTTGTGTGTGTTGTTTGCTGTATGATGTATGCTGTGTGTGTATGCTGTGTGTTGTGTGCTTGGTGTTGTGTGCTGTGTGTTGTGTGTGTGTTGTGTGTGTGTGCTGTATGGTGTGTGCTGTGTGTGTGTGTTGTATGCTGTGTGTGTTGCGTGTTGTATCTACGGGACCTTTACTGTTATAGAATCAAAGTATCTAAAATTCCAAGAGGTAATTTAGTTTGTTATCTCTTACTGGTGGTGCTGGTGCTGGTGGTGGTGCTGGTGGTGGTGGTGCTGGTGATGGTGGTGGTGCTGGTGGTGGTGGTGGTGCTGGTGGTGGTGGTGCTGATGCTGATGGTGGTGGTTCTGCTGCTGCTGTGCATATTTTTAAAAATACATTTTTAAGTTTGGCACAAAGTGGGCGAGTCCTTGGGAACGGCACCACAAGGTATGTCCCCGTGCATCGTCAAATCGGGCAGGGTGATTGATACTCACACTCAAAACACGTTTTTAATTGACCAGGTAAGGCACCCCCCCCCCTACTGAGCAATGTGGATCTTTCTCAGAAATGACAAATACCGTAATAGCCACGGCTAGGAGATGTTAACTACCTCGCCTGGTAGGCAGGAGGTCGTGGGTTCGGTCCCGACCCTGACGCCTGCTGCTGTATATTTGAAGTTTGCGTCTCTCTCATCATCGCAATGGCTAAGAGATGTTAACTACCTCGCCTGGTAGGCAGGAGGTCGTGGGTTTGGTCCCGACCCTGACGCCTGCTGCTGTATATTTGAAGTTTGCGTCTCTCTCTCTCTCTCATCATCGCAATGGCTAAGAGATGTTAACTACCTCGCCTGGTAGGCAGGAGGTCGTGGGTTTGGTCCCGACCCTGACGCCTGCTGCTGTATACTTGGAGTTTGCGTCTCTCTCTCTCCCCGTGGTCGCGTGGATTTTTCTCTGGTTCCTCCTCCGGATTTCCCCTCCACGTTTAGAATCAACATCACCACGCGTTTACAGTGATTTGGCTGCTGCTAATACATGATGATGATGAGCGGCTTGGCTTAGCTATCATTGACAGGTCGCTCACCGACTGAAACAACGAGCTACAGAGCTCGGTGTGGGCTTTACCCGATAAAATTAAAATAAACTTCACAAAGGCTGAGTCGTCCTTACTCGTTGGTTCTTTCGGTAAAGTCACCGTCGGTGGAAAAATAATCGATCACGACGTTTCGATCGCAACGCAAGCAATCGTCATCAGGTGGGACAACCACAGATTGAGTCGTCCTATAAGGGGGGCACAGGGCAGAGTGGGTTTATTGTGTGCTCCGTAGTTTGACTTTCAATGCCACCGTGAGATCAATCGCAGCAGGGCAGTCCAGACTCCAACTCCGCTAAGCCAGCGCCAGACTCCCTTCCTCCTCCTCTCTCTCGCTCGTCCCCACGAGGTCGTTTCTCTCACGCCACCCACCAACCCCACCGCTCTCCCACCGCTCTCTCGAGCGAGCGCGTCCACATGCGGGTGCCACTCGCTGCGAGCCCCTCCCCCGGAGGGGGGCGAGTGGAGGGGGAGTGGGGGGAGTGGGGGGGATTAGGGGGGGGAGTGGGGGGAGTGGGTGGGGGGAGTGGGGGGAGTGGGGGGGCTCCCCCTCTCTCCACTCTTCCCACGCCTCGTCCAGCAGCTGTCCAGACTCCTCCTCCTCCGTGGCGCTGCCTGTGGCTCCACTCTCTCCACTTTGCCTCTTCAAAAATGTCCTGCAGCCCCCCCCTGTAGCCCCCCCCTATAGCCCCCCCCCCCCTGTAGCCTCCCCCCCCCGCCTGCCCTGCATGGTCATCCCATACACCCTCCTCGGACTCAGTCGCCCTCCTGGGCAGCTCCACTGGCCCACTGCGCTCATCTCCCCCGCGAGGCCCGCGGGCCCATGACGGCCCCTGGTGCCCTTCATCGTGGCCTCTGGCAATCCACAAACAGTGAAAACATCCCACATCACCATCATCATCCTCCATCATCATCATCATCACCCCCCATCATCATCATCCTCCATCATCATCATCATCATCCTCCATCATCATCCTCCATCATCATCACCCCCATCGCCATCATCATCATCATCCTCTATCATCATCATCACCCCCATCATCATGACCCCCATCATCATCACCCCCATCATCATCATCACCATCCTCCATAATCACCCCCATCATCATCACCCCCATCATCATCATCATCTCCCATCATCGTCGTGCCGCTGTGAACCCCCAGCAATGGCTTGCAGCGTGTGCCCCCCCCCCACGCCGCCCGCAACGTCTCCGTGCCACTGTGGCCCCCCTCCCCTCCCCCTCTCTCCACCCACCCACCCACCCAGCCAAGGCAAAGACAAAGGTTCCCCCGACGTGTAACCTCTAGCAGACTGTCGGGGCAAGTGCTGTTAGCGAGTAGCGACACCTACGAAGGCCGGCACCGTAGCACACGAGGGGTGGGTGGCCAGTGCCATGCCCGGCCGCCTTTGTCTCCCCGTTGGCGATGTTTACCCATCGCACCGGGTACTCATTTAAGGCCGAGTCGACCTAGGGGAGGCGCAGGTCCGGTTCAGATAATCGTCACCGGGAATCGCCGGGTTCGTGGCGCAGCGCAGCGCTAACCGCTGCGCCACCACTCCCCACCACCGCCACCACCGACCTCCCCATCAACCAGAGGGGGGCACCAAGTGACGTCACCACATCCACGGCTGTGGTGAAGGGACCAAGCAGGTGGAGGACTTCCCCACAACTCTGGCTGTCGCCTGACGAAGCTGGTTGTGATTACTGGTTAACGTCACGGTGCTCAGATCGTAAATGTTGTGGCTTGGTTCTCCAACACACAACCGGTTAGTGCTGTACTAGTATACTACACTACACACTACACTATTATACACTACACTATACACTACACTACACTATACACTACACTATTATATACTACACTATACACTACACTATACACTACACTATACACTACACTATACATTACACTATACAATACACTACTACACACTAGTGCTGTACTAGCGACGAATTGGCCACGTTCTGTTTACGTGACAACCCTTACTAGTTGGTCGTGTCGGGTGGTGGCGGGTTTTAACGACACATTTATATATTTACGCGATCTCACCCAACAAAACCAAACCTGTATTATGGAGCCAGTTATATCGTTGTGACGTCCACCCGCCCGCCCTCCCTCCCCAGGTGTGCGCTGTGCGAGTCACGCACCACGATGGGCTATCGACTTCACTTCGTCGAGCCGCTGGTCATCCTCTACCTGTTCGGCCAGACCCTGTCGGGCCCTCCGACCCAAGTGTACATCTACAACCGCATCCTGCACGAGATTGGGAACGGCTCGCGTAGCGCCGGCAGCGTCGACCACGGCGGGTCCGCCAATGGCTCACACGCCAATGGCTCACACGAGAGCTGTGGAGGGTCCAACGCCTCCGATGACAGCTCCAAGGCGGAGGAGGTGAACGAGGGGTCTGTGGGATATGGTGGGGGGGGAGATTCAGGAGGTGTTCAGGAGATACAAGAGGTGTTCAGAAGAGACATACAGTGAGAGAAAAAGTATTTGATCCCCTGCTGATTTTGTACGTTTGCCCACTGACAAAGAAATTATCAGTCTATAATTTTAATGGTAGGTTTATTTGAACAGTGGGAGACAGAATAACAACAACAAAATCCAGAAAATCGCATGTCAAAAATGTTATAAATTGATTCGCATTTTAATGAGGGAAATAAGTATTTGACCGCTCTGCAAAACATGACTTAGTACTTTGTGGCAAAACCCTTGTTGGCAATCACAGAGGTCAGACGTTTCTTGTAGTTGGCCACCAGGTTTGCACACATCTCAGGAGGGATTTTGTCCCACTCCTCTTTGCAGATCTTCTACAAGTCATTAAGGTTTTGAGGCTGACGTTTGGCAACTCGAACCTTCAGTTCCCTCCACAGATTTTCTATGGGATTAAGGTCTGGAGACTGGCTAGGCCACTCCAAAACCTTAATGTGCTTCTTCTTTCTTGAGCCACTCCTTTGTTGCCTTGGCCTTGTGTTTTGGGTCATTGTCATGCTGGAATACCCATCCACGACCCATTTTCAATGCCCTGGCTGAGGGAAGGAGGTTCTCACCCAAGATTTGATGGTACATGGCCCCGTCCATCGTCCTTTTGATGCAGTGAAGTTGTCCTGTCCCCTTAGCAGAAAAACACCCCCAAAGCATAATGTTTCCACCTCCATGTTTGACGGTGGGGATGGTGTTCTTGGGGTCATAGGCAGCATTCCTCCTCCTCCAAACACAGCGAGTTGAGTTGGTGCAAAAGAGCTCCATTTTGGTCTCATCTGACCACAACACTTTCACCCAGTTGTCCTCTGAATCATTCAGATGTTCATTGGCAAACTTCAGACGGGCATGTATATGTGCTTTCTTGAGCAGGAGGACCTTGCGGGCACTGCAGGATTTCAGTCCTTCACGGCGTAGCGTATTACCAACTGTTTTCTTGGTGACTATGGTCCCAGTTGCCTTGAGATCATTGACAATTTCCTTCCGTGTAGTTCTGGGCTGATTCCTCACCGTTCTCATGATCATTGCAACTCCACGAGGTGAGATCTTACATGGAGCCCAGGCCGAGGGAGATTGCCAGTTCTTTTGTGTTTCTTCCATTTGCGAATAATCGCACTAACTGTTGTCACCTTGATAATTGGTTTTTTACCCTTCTATCTGGCAACAAAACTGACACCTTTTTACAAGGAGTCATGTTTGCATAGACCGCAATACCTGCAGTCATAATACAAACAAAAGACATAACTCTGATAATGTGCACTGTCCTTGAAGTGCACATTATCAGAGTTATGTCTTTTGTTTGTATTATGACTGCAGGTATTGCGGTCTATGCAAACATGACTCCTTGTAAAAAGGTGTCAGTTTTGTTGCCAGATAGAAGGGTAAAAAACAAATTATCAGATTTTTACTGGCAAATGAGGTTCCCATAGTGTTGTCACCTTCTCACCAAGCTGCTTGGCGATGGTCTTGTAGCCTATTCCAGCCTTGTACAGGTCTACAATCTTGTCTCTGACATCCATGGAGAGCTCTTTGGTCTTGGCCATGGTGGAGATTTTGTAATCGGATTGATTGATTTCTTCTGTGAACAGGTGTCTTTTATACAGGTAACAAGTTGAGAATAGGAGCACTCCCTTTAAGAGTTTGCTCCTAATCTCAGCTCGTTACCTGTGAAGTATTTGAATTGATGGCAGGAACTTCTTGACGGGTAACACACTTTTATTAAATCTTGACGTATCACAATACAACGGGTGGTCTCTATCCTTTGGACTATACACTCCACTTAACTCGTGTAGACTCTATGCCTCTGGCTACACACGATACACTTGACTCGTGTAGACCCTATGCCTCTGGCTACACACAACACACTTGACTCGTGTAGACCCTATGCCTCTGGCTACACACACAATGCATTCGGCTCGTGTAGACTCTATGCCTATGGCTACACACAATACACTCGCCTCTGGGTTACACAGAGTCCCGGTCCCGTTAGGACAGCGGGACTAGGTACCGCAGGGCCCTATGTCTTCATCCCCGTCTTCATTCTTCGCTGGTTACATACTGCCCTTACGCCTGTGTGCATCCCCTTTTATAGCCCCTGCTCACGAGAGACGGAGCTGATGCGGACGTCGACGTGAGCATCGCTCCTTAGTGAACCAATCACGACGCACTCTCTCTACGATCCGTTTTCCCCAGCGCGTGTTAACACTACTCCACCAATCACACCGCGCTGCCACCCGGTCACTCCCTCTCAGCGCGTCACCGGCCCACAGCCAATCAGTACCCCGTAACCCACGACCCCGCGCTGACCCCTGATCCTCCACCGTCAGCGCGCGTCACCACATACACAGCCAATCATTACGCGCTGGCATACGATCCCTAATCCCAGCGCGTATCACCACTACATCACCCCCTCCCACATAGCTTGCAGCCGGCCCGGCTGTTAACCAACAACACAACCCAACGTTAACGCAATAATAATTAAAAAGAACCCCATCCCCCCCCAGTGTGCCCCGTAACGCAACAACAACAACACTTAATTAAGAAGCAATATACAGCCCGACGAACAACACAATAAAAGCGAACACCAGAAAACGAACGCGCCAAGTGTCTCTGTGACTAAACGCAGTGACGAGGCGCTCCGGCTGCCTCGACTCCTCACGTGGTAGGTCATAAAAAGTAGCGCGACCTAGCGCGAGTCTGTCTGGCCGGTCCGTCGTATGGGACGGGACGCTGGCGACCGTCCGGTGGCTCTGGCAGCTCTAGACGGCGCGGATCGGGCCTGGAAGGACCGGCCCTGCCGCGAAGATCCGGCCGCCGGTGGTCGGCAGCTGTCAGTTCCGAGACACCTGGGAGCGGATCAGGCGGAGACATGTGAGGATCAGGCAAAGACATTTCCCCCTTAGGGTCGTCGGTCACGTCACATGCTCGGCCCTCACGACACAAGGGGAGGCCATATGGAGGCAAGAACGGTTTCAGTCGGGAGGGGTGGACATACCAACGGCGTTTTCCCCATTTTATCTAAATGCACTGGGGGCGTGCAACCCGCACGACCTCCACGGGTCCCTGCCATGGCTTCAACAATTTAGGCGACGTAGCCAAAGGTGCCTGAGGGCAATGCAGCCAGGCCCTGTCACCTGGTTCCCAGTTGTGCACGGACACCTTCCGTGCACGCAACCGCTCGTTTGCAATTTGGCGAGCCCGCGAATTAAGCCGTGCGGCCTCCCTTGCCTCTGTCAGCTTATGAATATTAAATTTAATATGCTCTGCCAATTTCGAATTAGTTCGTGGTGCGGGCAGGCCCAGCTGCGTTTCCATGGGCGTGTCGGCTTCCCGACCGTACATCAGATAAAACGGGGAAAATCCCGTAGCTGCATGGGGGGCCATTCTGTACGCGGCGAGGACCCCAGGGACCTGCAGGTCCCAATCAACATGTGCCTCACACACCTGCTGGCACAGCATAGAAGTCAATGTCCTGTGGAGCCTCTCCACCATCCCGTCCGTCTGCGGGTGGTACGGGGAGGTACGCACCTTCTTAGTACCCAACAGGTCGCACACCTCTTGCAGTAATTTACTCGAAAATTTTTTCCCTTGGTCGGTCAGCAAGCGTTCGGGAGCCCCCTTGTCCAGGACGTAGCCCTGGACAAAGGCGTCCGTCACAGCCGCCGCCGACTGGTTGGCGAGTGGCCACGCCATAGGCCACCGGGTAAAATATTCGACCCCCACCAACAGGTACTTATTACCCCTAGGCGTGACTGGAAAAGGCCCCAGAATATCGAGTGCAACGAGCTCGTTAGTGCGCGAGACCTGAATAGATTGCAGCGGTGGATTAGCTGCCACGGGCGGTGGTTTCCGTCTGGCGCACTCAACACAACCCTTCAGCATATTCACCACGTCACTCCCCATTCCCGGCCAATAATAGTCACGCTGAAGCAGGGCAAGCGTTTTGTTAACTCCCAAATGCAAGAGGCGTTCGTGTGCGGCCAAGACAACCTTCCCCCTCACAGCAGAAGGCACCACAATCGCGTGCCGCCGGGACAAACTGTCCCATCTCATTAACAGGCCTTGCTTAAGTACGTAGGAGCCAGTTCGTTCATGGTCACCTTCGGAACCCCCCGTCCTGCGGCGCAATGCTAGCAGGGAGCTGTCCGCCATTTGGAGACGGCCCCACTCAATCAGCGACAGTGAGAGCAGCGAGTCCTGACCCCCTGGGGTAGCGGGAACATCCCCAATTGGTGTGCCCGCGGTCGCAACCAACGCCTCCATACCTTCCGTAACTGGCGGTTTACAGCGCGCCGATCCCGATAAGCACGCACATTTGTGACAAGGCAACAACCGCGACAGGGCATCGGCATTTGTGTGTCGCAACCCCTTACGGTATGTAGTCGTGAACTGATAGTCCTGGAGGACTTCCAACCACCGCGACAATTGGCCCGAGGGCTGGGCGACCCGCAATGAATACTGGAGCGCCGCGTGGTCCGTCCGGACCGTAAAGTGACGACCATAGAGATATGGTCTGAATTGTTGTACGAAAAAAACAATGGCAAGCAGCTCGCGACGGGTGACGCAGTAGCGCTGCTCTGCCGGCGACAACACCCTGCTACCATAGGCGACCACCCGTTCGACCCCTCCAACGACTTGGGACAGCACCCCCCCAATGCCCGTGTTGCTAGCATCCGTGTCTAGCAAGAAGGGACTCGCAAAGTCAGGATAGCGCAAGGGTGGGGCCCCTACCAAGGCGTCCCGGAGGGAGCAGAATGCAGCCTCCTCTTCCGGTCCCCATCGGAACTTCACTCCTTTCGCCGTTAGAGCGTGCAAGGGTTTTGCAATGGTGGCGAAGTGCTCAACGAATCGGCGATAATAAGAAGCAAAACCGATGAAACTGCGCACGTCCGAAACTGACGTGGGCGTCGGCCACGAACTGACACAGTCCGTCTTCGCAGGATCGGTAGAAATCCCCGAAGAGTCGACAATGTGACCCAAGTATCTAACGGATTTACGAAAAAGGTGGCATTTGGCCGGTTTAAACTTTAATTTAGCCGATCGCATTCGCAAGAACACCCCTCTCAATCGCTGGAGGTGTTCTTCAAACGTTTTACTGAAAACAATGACATCGTCAAGGTAAATCAGGCACGTATCCCATTGCAAGCCCGACAAAACCAACTCCATAAGGCGCTGAAACGTCGCAGGAGAGGAGTGAAGTCCCATGGGTAACCGGTTAAACTGAAACAGGCCCCCTGGAGTCCAAAATGCAGTCTTAGGCTTAGACTCTTCGTCGAGTGGCAACTGCCAGAATCCGGATAATAAATCAAGAGTCGAAAAGTATCGCGCACCAGACAATGCATCGAGGGACTCGTCCATCCTGGGGAGCGGATACGCGTCGGCCACAGAGATCTTATTCAGGCGACGGAAATCAACGCAAAATCGCAAGGACCCGTCCTGCTTTTTAACGAGCACAATAGGTGCTCCCCAAGGACTGGAAGAAGGCAAAATAATGTCGGCTTCTAGCATATCGTTAACGGCCGACTGAACATGTTCCTTCTCAGCAGGACTCAGTCGGAAGGGATTTAGCCTGACCGGTGCCGCATCGCCCGTTTCAATGTGGTGGCGTAGCAGGTCCGTGCACCCAATGTCATACTTATGTTTACTGAAGACATCCGAAAATTCAAGCAGCAACCCGCGCAGCGCACCCAACTGTACCGCTGACAAATCGTCAGAGTCCGCGCACAGCGAATCGACCCATTCGAGGTCCTCCTTCGGTTTAACGTTTTGCGTGGGGCTCGGATCAGCCTGCGCAACCAGCCGCTCTTCCGCAGGGACCCGCGCCGCGTGAGCTAGCACGGTGCCCTGCTGAATGACGGCCGGCCGCGACCCAGCGTTTAAAACCATCACAAACGGATCCCTGTCAGCCCCAACCAAAGTGTGAGCCACCGACAAATCGAGACCTCCAACAGCCTTATTAGAAGGACCCAAAAGCATGCCTTGTTCCGAGGCCTCCCTCACCCATGGTTTCCGCAACCGGAGGGGAATTAACATTTGTGAACCCGGGGGCACGTGCACGGTCTGTGTCGCTAACGCTTGTATCGTAGCGCACAGCCGTCCGAATTTCAGTAGGGCTCGTCAAAAATGAAATACGGCGACCCGATGGTAGTTCAATGCAACGCTGATCAATGAGAATTTTGATGGGCATTTTTGCCAAAAAATCAGTGCCCAATAGACAAGGAACCGCCAGGGAGGACGAAACGAAAACGGGTCCCGACAATTTGATATCTCCAATGCAAATGGACGCCCTAATCTGACCGATAATGCCCAACGATCCCCCGTTAGCGGTGTAAAATGGCACATCCACCGGAAGAAGCGGACGACATTGTACAGGGAGAATGTTATAAATGAGGTCCGATATAATAGTCGCCGATGCCCCCGTGTCCACTAACACCCTGACCTCGACCCCATCAATAGATCCCGTAACGACGGATGAACCCGCTGAGGCAGCCACTATTCTGTGCCCCAACTCCGACCATTTAATGTCTCCCCGGTCCCGGCCGAACCCCCCTCGCCGAACTGAATCCCCGAACCCTACTCGGCTCTCCTCCGCCGCAACGCGACGGCCCATGCGTGTCGAGTATGCGGGCCGAGCATGTGAGGTGCCGCGACTTGCCGGGGTTTGTAGGGATGACTTGGGGCCTTGTTCGTCGTCCAGCCGAGGTCCCATGGCGCGCTGACGTGGGGCGCGGCAACCGGAGGCCACATGGCCCCGGAGGCCGCAGTTATAACACGTGATGACAGTCGTCGGAGATCTCGGTTGCTCCAGCTTGCGGGCCGATCGCAGAGGCGAACGACCCCCCGACCTCCAGTCCCCCGGTCGTTCCGTGATGAACGCCTCCTCTCGTGGGCTGACGACTTGGGGCACGGTGACTACCGGGCCCGGAGCGGAGGCCACGGCAGCGTTGCAGATGACCCCCTGTTTACGTTGAAGGACCTCGTGCGCTTGTATGCTCGTAGCGACCCGTAAGGAAGAAATATCGGTCTCGTCGGCCGTGTTGATGGGGACCCCCAGGTCCTGCGCCAACTTGAGCAGTTGCTCCAAAACCATTGCATCTTGGCCCTCCTCGTCCATACGAGGGAACGCGGCGTCGGCGAGAGCCAGCAACGCCGTGCGATAGGCGAGCACGGTCTCCGTGTCCGCCTTCCGTCTTGCATAAAAATGATGGCGACACGCCGAGGGAGGACCATAGACCTTGGCCATGAGAGCCAGCGCATCCTTGAGCGTGGAGCGGTCCGACCTGCGTGCGGACGTGAAGGCCGCGAGCGCGTTGTCGTCCAGCATGGCAGGCAGTGCCCGCAGTGCCCGCAGTGCCGTAGCGTCGGACCAGGCGGACATCTCCTGATGCGCCAAAAACCTGCGCTGAAATTGGCCCCAGTCCCCGCCTTCCGCCTTGAAGGCTGACAACGTGGGAAGGCGCTGTTGAAAGATGAAGTCGTCCTCCTCCTCGTGCTTCCTCTCCGCCGCCCCGTCGGTGTGTAAGATGGCGGCCCCAGTGGCGGGTGTTTGATGGCGGTCCGCAGCGCGGGTTGGTGACGTAAGCGGGCGCGCTTGGAGAACCGCTGCCACGTGGTGATGGCCGTTCCCGCCAAAAGTCGGCGCAGATGAAATGGCGGGAATCGCCAAGTCATTTTGGCGGGAATCTGCGGGGCGACCCTGTAGAACGTCCGCCGCCGTCCCCGCTCCTCCCGACGAGCTGATCTCCGCCAGGATGGACGCGGCGGCGAGCAGCAGCTCCGCCAGACGGGAGTGCGCCTCGCGGAGCACGGCGTCGGTCCCCCGTCGCTCGTCCGGCGCCGTCGGCGGATCCTGCAGCGTGGGCAATTCCTCGTCCTCACCCCCCGATGCCAGCTGACCCGAGTCGTCGAGGTTGTCCCCGCGGTCAATCCCGTGGGTCCGACGGGTCTTCCTTGTATCCATGCTTGGAAGACCGTTTCACTTCTGACGCCAGTTGAAGTATTTGAATTGACGGCAGGAACTTCTTGACGGGTAACACACTTGTATTAAATCTTGACGTATCACAATACAACGGGTGGTCTCTATCCTTTGGACTATACACTCCACTTAACTCGTGTAGACTCTATGCCTCTGGCTACACACGATACACTTGACTCGTGTAGACCCTATGCCTCTGGCTACACACAACACACTTGACTCGTGTAGACCCTATGCCTCTGGCTACACACACAATGCATTCGGCTCGTGTAGACTCTATGCCTATGGCTACACACAATACACTCGCCTCTGGGTTACACAGAGTCCCGGTCCCGTTAGGACAGCGGGACTAGGTACCGCAGGGCCCTATGTCTTCATCCCCGTCTTCATTCTTCGCTGGTTACATACTGCCCTTACGCCTGTGTGCATCCCCTTTTATAGCCCCTGCTCACGAGAGACGGAGCTGATGCGGACGTCGACGTGAGCATCGCTCCTTAGTGAACCAATCACGACGCACTCTCTCTACGATCCGTTTTCCCCAGCGCGTGTTAACACTACTCCACCAATCACACCGCGCTGCCACCCGGTCACTCCCTCTCAGCGCGTCACCGGTCCACAGCCAATCAGTACCCCGTAACCCACGACCCCGCGCTGACCCCTGATCCTCCACCGTCAGCGCGCGTCACCACATACACAGCCAATCATTACGCGCTGGCATACGATCCCTAATCCCAGCGCGTATCACCACTACACCTGTATAAAAGACACCTGGGAGCCAGAAATCTTTCTGATTGAGAGGGGGTTAAATACTTATTTCCCTCATTAAAATGCAAGTCAATTTATAACATTTTTGACATTCTGGATTTTGTTGTTCTGTCTCTCACTGTTCTGTCTCTCACTGTTCAAATAAACCTACCATTAAAATTATAGACTGATCATTTCTTTGTCAGTGGGCAAACGTACAAAATCAGCAGGGAATCAAATACTTTTTTCCCTCACTGTAGGAGTTGTCTGTATGCCGAGATCGTCAGGGGAGACATTCATAATTATTATTATTTTACCATGTAAGGCCCCTCCGAGCTGGCGTGTGGCTCTGTATCAGAAGCGACCCGCCTATCGCAAGTGATGGCTCAACAAAGCGGATTTCATCGCCTTGTTGAGGTGGCGTGTCTGCAGTGTGGCAGCCGCGTAGAAGGTGGCAGTAGCCAGGGGTGTGATCTCGTATCTCGGTAACCAGGGGTGTGATCTCGTATCTCGCCATTGCCGCTGCCGCCCGTGCAGGAGGCGCAGGAGCAAATGTCCCAGTTCTACCTCTACCTCTCCCTGTCGGGCTTCGTGCCCATCATGGCGGCCGGGCTGGTGCTGGGAGCGCTCAGCGACAACCACGGACGCCGCGTGGCGCTGATGCTGCCCCTCGTGGGCGACATCCTCTCCACCGTCATCTTCATCCTGATCGTGCACTTCGAGCTGCCCCTGTGGATCCTCTACATCTCCAACGTCCTCACCGGCTTCCTGGGGGGCACCACCACGCTGCTGGGCATCAGCTTCGCCTACGTGGCCGACACAACCACCAAGGTGACCGTCCGCCCGTCAGCTCGCTTGCGTCATGGTCTCCTCGGACGCGGTCGGGCGGTTTTATTTTTTACGTTTTATTTTCTTTTTGTGCTCAGCAATTTGTCGTTGTAAACGATCCCCCCGACCCCCCGTCCACCCCGATTCTAACGACCCTCCAACATTAATCCAAATTCTCAGAAGTGTGATTTAGACAAATGAAGTTGCGTAACTGAATTGGGTGCGTTTCAAAGCTACACAGTGGGGCGCTAAACTGCAATGCATCTCTACGGCTCCGCTCAGGGTTACCTCTGGCTCAGGGTTACCTCTGGCTCAGGGTTACCTCTGGCTCGAGAGAGCCGTGGCTCGAGGGAGAGCCACGCTTAACTTGAGCCAGCCCCTGATCAATGGTCCCAGCCATGGCTCAGGATTTCTATGAGCTGTGATCCTGAGCCGAGCCATGGCTTAGCCAGCTCATGCATTGTAAAAAGAATGGTTCAAGCCCGAGTACAGGTGTTGAGGTGCAACAGACGACGCTGACACAGTTCTTCAGTAAGGGCGGATGCCAAGGTTTATTAAGGGCTAATGCCAGGAACTTAATAAAGGCTTATGCCTAACAGTTAACAACCTTATTATCTCCCCAGGGAAAAGGGTACTGGGAGGGTCCCTAGCTCCACCCAGGCTATTCGTGCTCTTCCCCCAGCACCGACCGAGGGGTCATCCAACTCGGTCGGCCGAGTGAAGTAGCCACCCCTAGCCTGGCGCTAATTCCCCCTACCCTGGATCCCGACTTTCCAACTCTCTCCATTCCTGGCCCCTCGCGACGACCCCCTTTACGTCACGGGTTCCCCCTTAAATATCAGCGTAACCTGACGTCATCCATTCTCTCCCCCAGAGTGACATGACGTCATCCACTACTCGTCTACACAGGGACTCCTCTACTTACAAACGAGTTAGGTTCTAGAGGTCTGTTTGTAAGTCGATTTGGTCGTAAGTCCCAACTTTACTCCTGTCGATTCCAAACGTGTTGTACGACATGTACACTAAACACGTGGAATTGCTTTAAAGGTTGTATAATCTTATGTAGATGTAGATGCCACTGGTTCTTCACGTGCTGTAGATGCAGATGCCACTGGTTCTTCACGTTCTGTAGATGCAGATGCTACTGGTTCTTCACGTTCTGTAGATGCAGATGCCACTGGTTATTCACGTTCTGTAGATGTAGATGCCACTGGTTCTTCACGTTCTATAGATGCAGATGCCACTGGTTCGTCACGTTCTGTAGATGTAGATGCCACTGGTTCTTCACGTTCTGTAGATGCAGATGCCACTGGTTCTTGACGTTCTGTAGATGTAGATGCCACTGGTTCTTCACGTTCTGTAGATGCAGATACCACTGGTTCTTCAAGTTCTGTAGATGCAGATGCTACTGGTTCTTCACGTTCTGTAGATGCAGATGCTACTGGTTCTTGACGTTCAGTAGATGTAGATGCCACTGGTTATCACGTTCTGTAGATGCAGATGCCACTGGTCCTTCACGTTCTGTAGATGCAGATGCTACTGGTTCTTCACGTTCTGTAGATGCAGATGTCACTGTTCTTCACGTTCTGTAGATGCAGATGCCACTGGTTTTTCACGTTCTGTAGTTGCAGATGCCACTGGTTCTTCACGTTCTGTAGATGCAGATGCCCCTGGTTCTTCACGTTCTGTAGATGCAGATGCCACTGGTTTTTCACGTTCTGTAGATGCAGATGCCACTGGATCTTCATGTTCTGTAGATGTAGATGCTACTAGTTCTTCACGTTCTGCAGATGTAGATGCTACTAGTTCTTCACGTTCTGCAGATGTAGATGCCACTGGTTCTTCACGTTATTTAGATGCTTATGCCACTGGATCTTCACGTTCTGTAGATGCAGATGCCACTGGTTCTTCACGTTCTGCAGATGTAGATGCCACCGGTTCTTCACCCTTTGTAGATGTAGATCCACTGGTTCTTCACCTTTTGTAGATGTAGATGCCACTGGTTCTTCATGTTCTGCAGATGTAGATGCCACCACCGCCATCTATTGAGTGGCGGTTGAACTTACGACTCTCGGTCCGAGCAGGCAACTGGCCATATGGCCCGGGTTTGTTTCTATCTCTGAAAGTTCGTAAGTCAAATGTTCATTATTAGAGGAGTCCCTGTACAGCCCTCTACGAGTGTGTGCGAATCTTCAGTCAAATGAGGTTGCATAACCGCTATTGGACGAGTTTCACAACTACGCAACGGGGGGGGGGGGGGGGGGGGGGGGGGGGAGGCGTGACGCTGCAATGAAGCCCAGCTCTGCTGAGACACCGCTCGCCAAGATGCTCACAAATCCCGAATCGCCTCTCGTAGATGAACCGCAACTGGCGCGTGGCGCTGCTGGAGATGGCGCTGGGAGCCGTGGGGATTGGCGCCTCCTTCGCGTCGGGACACTTCACAAAGGTAACGCAGGGCCCAGTGCCGACACCCTTGCCTGTGAAAACTAGCAAACATGCGTGCATGCGCACTAATGCACGCGCACAAACACGCACGCACACGCGCAGGCACGCACACACAACAACAACCGCCATCCGCCTCTAAGTGGCGGTGAGGTCACCACGACGCTTGTGCCAGGCCATGTGCACCTTGAGGCCACGTGAAGTGTCGAACGCCCGCTGACAGGGAGTCACGGGGCAGACCCAGATGCCATGGATCGACTGACCGAGATGACCGAGATGACTGGCTGATGCACCACCTATGCCCCCTACTGTACCAACTTGCTGTGCTTTAGCCACCCGGCGCTCCGCTCGTTGTTGTGAGCGTCGCTCCTCCGCCCAGACCAGGTGCCAGCATCATGACCAACTCGGGCATTGAAGTCACCCATCAAGATGACTCCGAGTGGCCACTTTAGCCAGCACCTGTGACAGGAGGTCATAGAAGGCATCTGACTCATCGGCTTTGCCTGCATCCCTCCACGGATGTTCATCTTCGGTGGGGGCATAAGTAACCATGACCACCACTCCTCGCCTCCGGTTGATGGGAAGGCGAGCCCAAAGTATCCTGGCCCCCTTCATTCTTTTGTTCAGAAGAAGAGCCACACCCTGTTGTTTGGCAGTCTCCTGCCCCGAGTGGAGGACTGTCCACCCCTCATGGTGGCAGGAGCCAGAACCAGTCCATCAGACCTCCTGAATGCCACAGAGATCCAGGCGGTACCGGTCCAGCTCCCGACAAAGGAGTGGCAGCCTCTCCTCCGCAGTGAGCGTTCGAACATTCCACGTGGCCATCCGTAGTGGTTTTTCGTTATTTCTGGAGGAGCCCCGAGGGTGAAGATTCAATCTCCTGGCTCCGCCAATTGGGGTTTGGCCAGGAGACGTCATAGAAGCCTGTCACCCCGGGGCCTCCGGCACAAGCTTATTTTTTACATATTTACTTTTCATTCGTAGTTTAGTGGTAATGAATTGAGGGTGGAGGGGTTACCAGCCCCTCGCACCCGTCCAGAGCCCCCGTTTAACCACTGTGGTGGTCACAGACGCCATGAGGGGAGAGGCCAATGGGCATTGACCCTCCCCCCACAGCGCTGTCCACGACAGCGTTGCCCATCCGGCACCGTGAGGAGGTAGGGGGTTGTTTTGCCGGTGTGTGTGCGAAAGACACACACTCACACAGGTGGGCGACAGCTCCTCCAGCTGGCCTCTATGGCCAAGTCCGCGTGGGGGTCTCTACCCGAGTCCTCCTGGGGGGTCGTCTCCGACGCGTGATCGACCCCCCCCCCCAACCCCCGCAGGTGGCCAAGGGCATCAAGGGCCTCCTGGCGCCGTTCTACTTCGAGGTGGGCGTTGACGTGGTGTGCTTCTTCTACGCCGCCTTCTTTCTGCACGAGACCGTGGGCGCCGGCGGGGGACCGCCGCTCCTCGCCGATCCCCAGCACGCTCCCAGCGACCGCCACCAGCAGGGGCAGCAGGGGCAGCAGGGGCAGCAGCAGCAGGGGCAACAGGGGCAGCAGCAGGAGGGGCGCCGCAAGACCGTGGGCGACTACGCGCGCGAGACCGTGCGGGGCTTCGTGCTGCTCGTCCGCGCCGGCGGCGACCCAGCGAGGCGGTGCCGCCTGCTGCTGCTGCTCGGCACCTTCGCCACGGTGGCGCTGGCGTTCTTCGGCGGCTCCGGCCTCCTCACCCTCTACCAGCAGGGCCCACCGCTCTGCTGGGGCGCCGTCATGGTGGGCTACGGGCAGGCGTTCTTCTGCTGCGTCTACGTCACCTCGTTCATCGGCGTGACGCTGGCGTCGCGCTGCCGCGTGCCCGACGGAGCCATCGCCCTCGCGGGGATGGCGTCGTTCGCCGCCGGCATGGTCACCACGGCGTTCGCCAGGACCTCGCTCGCCATGTTCCTCGGTGAGGCGCGCTGCGCGCTGGCCCACGCTCGCCTCCGCCTCTGTGTGGCTGTGGGTCTCTGTGTGAGTCTACGGGTCTCTGTGTGAGTGGTCCGTGGGTCCGCATTGTAACGAGGGTGTTCGCGTTCTGCGTTATAGCGAGGGCAGCGTGGTTCACGCAGGGCGCGTGAATCTTTCCGCTGCCGACTCTGGCGACCGGAAGGTCCCTCCCCCCTCCCAACTAACCCCCCCCCTCCATCCCTCCGTCTGTTCCCCCCCCCCCCCCCCGTAGCGAACATCCCTCTCATGTTCACCGTCATGCCGGCACCCGTCATCCGCTCCATGCTGTCCAAGGCCGTGCAGCCCAGCGAGCAAGGTGAGAGCCCCACACCCGGTGATGAATGGGAACCCAGCTCGCGTGTGTGCGCGTGTGCACCTGTGTGTGTGTGTGCGCATGTTGGCTGTGTGTGTGTGTGTGCATGCATGTGTAATAAATCAGGTCGACGACAAGCGACTGTAGTAGCTAATACATGTGTAGCTACTACACGTGTAGTAGCTACACGTGTAGCTGCTACACATGTAGCTACTACATGTGTAGCTACTTTTACTACGATGATAATCCGGCACTGCCCGACAGGCTGTGCAAGGCGACACGGGGAGATCTTTGTGTTCTGTGCTGCTGCTGTTGCAGGGGCGGTGTTCGCGGCCGTGGCGTGCGTGGAGATGGTGAGCGCCCTGGTCTCCACGCTCATCTTCAACAGCGTCTACACGGCCACCGTCGCCTGGTTCCCCGGATTCAGCTTCCTGCTCGCCGCAGCCTTCATGCTCATCCCCATGGCGCTCGTAGGGTGAGCCCCCCCCTCCCTCCACCCCCCCCCCCTCCCTCCACCCCCCCTCCCTCAACCCCCCCTCCCTCCAACCCCCCCTCCATGAGTTTTTGTGTAACGGGATTTTATTATAATTCTCGTGAAGATGTTTCAATCTGAATAAAACTTGGCTATAATTAGTTGTCTCTCCCCGTGTCTCTCCGTGTCTCCCCTGTGTCTCCCTGTGTCTCCCACTATTCCCCCACGTCTCCCCATCTCTACGTCTCTCCATGATCATCCCTGTCTCCCACTATCTCCCCGTGTCCCCCCCCCCCCCGTGTCTCCCACAATCTCCCCGTGTCTCCCACAATCGCCCAATGTCCCCCCTGTGTCTCCCCGTGTCTCCCACTACCCCCCCCCCCGTGTCTCCCACTACCCCCCCCCCCGTGTCTCCCACTATCTCCCCGTGTCCCCTGTGTCTCCCACTACCTCCCCCCCCCCGTGTCTCCCCGTGTCTCCCACTATCTCCCCGTGTCCCCCCGTGTCCCCCACTACCCCCCCCCCGTGTCTCCCACTACCCCCCCCCGTGTCCCCCACTACCCCCCCCGTGTCTCCCACTACCCCCCCCCCGTGTCCCCCACTACCCACCCCCGTGTCCCTCTCCCCAGGGTGGTGCGCTGCACGAGAGACCCCCAGCCCCACTACACGCGAGTCCCCACCGACAACGGAGACGCGAGCCCAGCCTACGGCAGCATCCAGTAGCCCCGCCTCCTCCTCCTACCTGGCTCCGCCCACGAGCTCCATGGCTCCGCCCACCGCCCCCCCCCCCCTTACCAGATATTTGGCTCCTCCCCTCCAGAGTCGTCCTCATCCTGGGATGTGACCCCAGGTGGCCACCTGACCCCGAGTCGTGAACACTGAACGGAAATGAACTTGAACGGGCATCGGTCTGGCTCCGTGAGCCTCGGTCATTCACACTGAACCCGTGGAGCTGTAGTCTGGTTCTGTGAGTCTCAGCTGTTACACCCCAAGGGCCGTCGGGATTTTTTGACCCGCGGAAGCTGGGAGATGTTGACTCCCTCGCCTGGTCTGCAGGAGGCCGTGGGTTCGATCCCCACCCTGACACCTGCTGCTGTAGATGTGAAGTCTGCGCCTCTCTCTCTCTCCCCGTGGTCGCGTGGAATTGTCTCCGGTTCCTCCGTTTTTTTCCCATCCACATTTAGAGCCGACGTCACGCGTTTAAAGTTGGTGGCTGCCGCTGTAAAAGTGCCACGTGATGATGATGGTGATGAGCCACTTCTTCGTTGGGCTGTCATTTGTGATGACCAGGTCGCTTCTGAAAGAGCGCTCTGCAGCTCAGTGGAGCCTTTACCTGGTAAAATAAATAAACATCGTTTATGGTTTAGATTCATCCAGCAGTGGAGAGCCCGTGGCTGGGGGTGGCGGTCATCGTGGTGACCCCGCGACCCCACCACAGTTTGACCCCTGACCCTGCGACCCGCTTCGGTACCGCCACGCTGAGCCCGCGACCCGAGTCAAACATTCTCGCAAGTTTTAGTTTCATTCGGATAGGTGGACTCGGCCTCAAAGGAGTGGCTGTAAACATCGCCACTGGGGAGACAAAGGCGGTCGGGCGTGGTGCTGCAATGTGTCGCTTGCAACCGAGTAACGCACGCTCAGGCCGTGCATCCAATGCTGCAGATCGCGTTTAATTGCCGCTGTCTTTGGTTCCGAGAGCTGCTTCCCAGCATGCCGGCGAGCTGGCACAACGCCTATGGCCACGTCGGGTGGTGGAAGGCTTCGTGACGACGAAAAAAAATTGGCCAAAAACCCGACAAACCCCCCCCCCCCCCCGCACGAGCCTTGAACGTGGCCCGACCCAAACTTCGATGTTGAATCGCGTGTGCGTCTGTACGTACGTGTAAATAGCACTTGCCCCAAAATCATGCTTTCACGGGGGATTTTTACCTTTGTATATAGATGGGGAGCGGTGGCGCATTTGGTTAACGAGCTGTTCTACTAACCCAGGCACCTGAGTTCGATTCCCGCTCACGACCAACAACAGTGACATTGAACTGAACCGGTCCTGGGCCTCTGCTCGGTTTGATCTACTTGATGTAGTGTTGTGTAGTAAACATCGTCACTGGGGAGACAAAGGCGGCCGGGGGTGTTGCTGGCCACCCAACCCCCTCGTGTGCCACAGTGCCGGCCTTCGTCGGTGCTGCTACTCGCTAACAGTGCTTGAAGGCTATACGAGATGGTGGGGAGGGGTGGGGGTGTTTGTCTTTGTATATATTTGTAAAACGTTATCAAAATAGAGACTCTAAACGCAATTGCTGTTGTAGATAGCTTCCACGAGTCTTGCATTGCCACGCGGTTCGTATCAACTGGGTTGTGTGCTGCGCTTGTCAATCTTATTTTAAATCATCTCTTGCTACAGTCGGATCCACACCTGAGCGGATACGCGACTTTTCAGGCGTCAAAATTTTCGACCGACGATTTGCGGCAGCGCTTTGACCGCGACGCACTTTGGGCAGCTGTGACTGGAGGCTACGACACCCGCAGACGCCATTTTGATTCTTCATGCGGCGTAACCACCGCCCGCTCGGATGTGGACAAAGCAGTTGCACGGGAGATTGAGTTGCGCAATACCGGCGAGCCAACTGGTTGCATGACCGCTCGCTGAACAGTTTGGACGTCACAAAAAAAAATGGCTGATGGTGAAGTCGGTGGTAGTGGCGGTGGTGGGGAGCGGTGGTGCAGCGGTTAGCGCTACGCTCTGCCACAAACCCGTCAACCCGGGTTTCGTTTCCCGCTCACGGCCACCAACACCGGTGACGATTATTTGAACCGGTCCTGGGCCTCCCCTAGGTCGACTCAGCCCTCGAATGGGTACCTGGTGCGAATGTGTAAACATCGCCACTGGGGAGACAAAGGCGGCCGGGCGTGGCGCTGGCCACCCACCCCCTTGTGTGCCACAGCGCCGGCCTTCATAGGTGCTCGCTTAACTGCCCTTGCCCCAACAGTCTCTTAAGGCTACACGGGGAGATATTTGTGTTTGGTGATGGTGGTGATGATGGTGATGATGATGAATAAATATGTCTTGGGAAATATACATTACTATTAGTCTCATTATTGTTGAGCATATGTGTTCGTGCACAGACACACGATCGTAAAAATAAACTCAAACGCTCATAAAATGATAAAAACGTACTGATTTATACTTCGCAAACTTGATGCAATTTTCCATTGAAAACTCGGAGGCGCGAAGCGAGGAACCAATATCCGTCGTGTGCCACCATGAACAGGTGAGGGCCTGGTCCAGGTGAGAGTCTGAACCAGGTGAGAGGCTGAACCAGGTGAGAGTCTGAACCAGGTGAGAGACTGAACCAGGTGAGAGTCTGAACCAGGTGAGAGGCTGAACCAGGTGAGGGACTGAACCAGGTGAGAGACTGAAGGTGTGAAATCCACAGCAAGAAAATTTGAAAAAAGTCGTGAGAATTTTTTGTTGTTTTATATTAATATTATTTTATTATTTCCCTTCTACGTGACTTTACCGAAAGAACCAAGAAGATGAATCCATAGATTTTGTTTATTTACGGGGGATTCCAGCACAACTTCTTTTTTACGATTCATATTTTTCTTGGACGTAGCCACCACGCTCGCAGTAACCAAGGCGGAGCGCCCAAGGTTGGCGTGTCTCTCGGGTCAACATCGGGCACACGACCACCCCCCGTCCATCATTCCGAGCCAGGGTGATCCCACCTCTTCATTGTGACGACTGCGGGCTGCTGCTGCTGCTGCGGCTGCTGCGTTGGCTGTGGAGAGATGAAGAGATTCTTCGAGAGTTGATGCCGAAGATGTTTTCCTCTTCACCCCCCACCACCCACCAACACCACCACGAAGCGATGTTGAGTGCGGGAGACAGCGAGCGAGCGGTCTTCTCGCGAGCCGTTGCACCCCACAAAACAAATCGGCGAACGAGGTTTGAGTGGGGGGAGGAGCAGCAGGGGGAGGTTTGATCGCGTTCGGTTTGCTCGTAAAGGTCCGAGGTGCAATCGTCAAGGTTGTCGTGGGCCCGAGGCGAGGTCGTTGTGACGGGGCGTTGATTGAGTTCACCTGGCGTAGCGGATGGACGTTAATGATTGCCCACGAGGGTATTAAACGAAGACACCGCACACACACTGAGTCAGGGCCTTCAGGGAATGTCGGGGGGAGGGTGCGGTGGCGAGTGGGGGGGGGGGCTCACGGCAATTGAGGCGTGTAGAGGGGGGGGGGCTCAAGGCGCTCTACCTCCTCCCCCTCCACCTCCCCCACCTCCTCCTCCACTTCCTCCACTTCCTCCTCCTCCACCTCCTCCTCCACCTCCTCCACCTCCACCTCCTCCACCACCTCCTCCACCACCTCCACCTCCTCCTCCTCCACCTCCTCCACCTCCTCCTCCACCTCCTCCTCCTCCACCTCCACCACCTCCTCCTCCACCTTCTCCACCTCCTCCTCCACCTCCTCCACCACCTCCTCCTCCTCCACCTCCTCCCCCTGCACCTCCTCCTCTTCCACCTTCTCCACCTCCTCCACCTCCTCCACCTCCATCACCACCTCCTCCACCTCGTCCACCTCCTTCTTATCCTCCACCTCCTCCACCTGGTCATCCCCCACCTCCTCATCCTCCACCTCCTCCACCTCCTCCACCTCCTCCTCCCCCACCTCCTCCTCCACTTCCTTCACCTCCTCCACTTCCTTCACCTCCTCCACCTCCTCCTCCACCTCCTCCTCCACCTCCTCCACCATCTCCTCCTCCACCTCCTTCACCTCCTTCACCTCCTCATCCACCTCCTCTTCCTCCCCCTCCTCCTCCACCTCCTCCCCCACCTCCACCTCCTCCACCACCTCCTCCTGCGGGCTACATGGTCCAGCCAACGCAGCCTTGCCTGCCGGAGGAGCTCTCTGATGGGACTTTGCCCAGATCTTTCAAGGATTTGTGAGTCCTCGCACAATCCAACCTGGTTAAACCCAGGATGGATCGTAGGGAGGCCAGCCTAAATATTTCTAACAGCGAAGATGTTCCATTTGGGGGGTCCACGTTTTGCAAGCGTAGAGAATGGAAGGAGTGACTGTGGCTGAGAAGACCTGAAGCTTCGTGCGGAGCGACAGACCAGGTAGTTTCCACACAGCGTTACGCAACCGATGAAAAGATATTGCCGCTCGACTGATTCGGAGTGAGACCTCAGCTCTAAAACCGGAGCCGGTCATGAGCACACTGCCCAGGTATGGGAAACTCTTCACTCTCTCCACAACTGCCCCATCACCAATTTGGAGTTGTGGGGGTGGAAGTGTCCGATGGTACAAAATTCCCAGGAAGGTGCTTAGTTTTGGTGGGGCTGATGGCAAGGCCCCACCTCTTAGAGGCAAGCTACAGGTTCAGCAGTAGCGCCTCCAACTCCTACTCTGAGTGAGCAGCTATCACCAGATCATCGGCAGACATAACGTGGTTGAGCAATAGGGAGCCATCCCTTGACCGCACCCAGGCATCGATCAGCCTCCCATTGTATCTGTACCAGATAGAAATTCCTCCAGTACAGCTATTGAAGGCTTCACCACCACCACCACCAACCACCACCACTAACCACCACCAAAACCACTACCACCACCACCAACCACCACCACCAACCACCACCAACCACTACCAACCACCACGCTCCGTCATTCCGCTTTCACCAATTTACTCCGAATTCGAATCAAGTTGTGACGCTGCGCTGTTGTAAGTTGCGTTCGCGAAGGGCACCGCGTGCTGGAAGCGTCGCCTGAGAATCGAACAAATGCAGCGGGGTGGAGCGCAGTCCGCGGTGACGCCGTGAGGTGGGCACGCAGGCCCAGCCACGCAGGCCCAGCCACAGACCGAGGCGCGTGGGGAGCGTCTAGAAGGATCCAGCAGCATCCCAATGCCCCGTGTGGTGGCGACGAGGCCGCCACTCCGAGGCAGCCGGACAACCGCTGATTGCTGCCCGCGCTGCGACGCAGCTCATCGCTGTGAAACCATGCGGCTTGCCCCTATTCTGTGCAGGGAGATTGAGCAAAACAAATGTTTGTGTTTCTCCCTCGTGATGGGGCTTTGTCGGGTGAACGTTGATATTTATAAGGCGCACGGGGTGACCAGTAAGGTCTGAATCGGTCTGTAACAAGGTAGGACACTGATAAGGCGTTGCTACGTATATAGTGGTGAGTGTAGTGGTGGTGAGTGTAGTGGTGGTGAGTGTAGTGGTGGTGAGTGTACTAGTGGTGAGTGTACTAGTGGTGGTGAGTGTACTAGTGGTGAGTGTAGTGGTGGTGAGTGTAGTGGTGAGTGTAGTGGTGGTGAGTGTACTAGTGGTGAGTGTAGTGGTGAGTGTAGTGGTGAGTGTACTAGTGGTGGTGAGAATACTAGTGGTGAGTGTAGTAGTGGTGAGTGTAGTGGTGAGTGTAGCAGTGGTGGTGAGTGTACTAGTGGTGAGTGTAGTGGTGAGTGTACTAGTGGTGGTGAGTGTACTAGTGGTGAGTGTAGTGGTGAGTGTAGTAGATGTGATTGGGGGTTGCTAGGTATTTCGTGGTGGGCTCTAATGCTCATCCACGGCTGACTCGCACGAGGGTTTCGAGTTCTCGCTCGGGGTGCCCTGACTTGTGGCGAGCAAAGCGGCGTCTGTGTTATTGTGATCGCGGTGCCCTGGCAAATATTCAAACCGGTTTGGCGGCATTGCGTTCCAAATCCGGTGGTAGGGTGGAGGAGTGGGTGGCACAGTGGGGCAGGCAGTGCCATCAAACCCCCGCGGAAGCACCGGGTTTCAAGTACCGACGGCGTCGTGTCTTCGTATCAGAATTATCTAAAGGTATTTGTCCTCGAGGAATCCGATGAGCCGTGAAGCTCTTTGTTACGCAGATGTCCGATAAGGACACGGGCTCAGAACGTTACAACGACGAACACAAAACCCAAACACAATAGACAAATACAGTAGACATACAGTAGACAAACAATAGACCAACATAATAGACACACACAATAGAAAAACACAATAGAAACACAATAGAAAAACACAATAGACGAACACAATAGACAAACACAAAACACAATAGACGAACACAATAGACAAACACAACAGACACAATAGACACACACGTGACATGGTGTGCAATGTACAGGCGAGGTCGCACAAGTCCATCCATTGTCATAGCCAATGTGATTTGTATCTCGCGAGTTCTCTGCGAGGTTGGCCAAGGGACTGTCTCTGCTGAATGAGGAACCTCTGCTGATGGCAAACGTAAGACGAGACGCACAACGCGTCTGTATTCCACCAGGTGTCATGGCCCACTGGGATGTGTGGCTCTTCTGTAAGAAGCGACCTGGCACTCGGGGTCACAAATAATAGAAAGACTGGGCGAGACAATTCAATGTTTTATTCGTGGGACATGTATTTTGTGTGCCAGGGGTGTAGTTCACTCCTCGACTGGGGTAGCAATCGGTGCGACGTCGCTGGTGCCACTCTCCGCTGTGTCGACACGCAGCGAGGACGACGATGACGCCGAGACCCTGAACGTTCGCACGCACCACGTGGTGGTGCGTCGTGTAAACCACGTGGTGGTGCGTCGTGTACACCACGTGGTGGTGCGTCGTGTAAACCACGTGGTGGTGCGTCGCGTAAACCACGTGGTGGTGCGTCGCGTAAACCACGTGGTGGTGCGTCGCGTACACCACGTGGTGGTGCGTCGCGTACACCACGTGGTGGTGCGTCGTGTACACCACGTGGTGGTGCGTCGTGTACACCACGTGGTGGTGCGTCGTGTACACCACGTGGTGGTGCGTCGTGTAAACCACGTGGTGGTGCGTCGTGTACACCACGTGGTGGTGCGTCGGGTACACCACGTGGTGGGGCGTCGTGTACACCACGTGGTGGTGCGTCGTGTAATCCACGTGGTGGTGCATCGTGTACACCACGTGGTGCGTCGTGTACACCACGTGGTGCATCGTGTACACCACGTGGTGGTGGTGGTGCATCGTGTACACCACGTGGTGGTGGGTGGTGCGTCATCGTCGTGCACAGCTCGAGTCGGGATGAGTCGCCTGCCCCACCGCCCACCATGGACAGACTC